AAAGTTTCAAGTAATGGACAAAATCAGCAGGTCCCCAGAATTCCTCCTGTTCTCCGAAAAACAGGGATCTGCAACAAATGTTGAACAAAGATGTCCTTGATCCTTTCTTCCTTTGAAGCTTCTTGGAACCGAATGTCAAAGCTTTGCAAAGAACTTGAAATATTGCATAGACCGAGGCATTACCAGCATCTTCTTTTCCTTTAACTTTGATATCAGTTTCTAAGAACAAGTCTTTGGCAAGCAGCAGGAACATCTCAAGAGGTTTTTACTGAAGAATTTGGTTTTCAAAACTCCCAGATCAAAATTAGTGGTTGGAATATTTTTGCATCTGCAAACCTCAAATATTCTTAATGTGTTGTCTAGATCCTGTGTTTGGGATATGATTCTTTTGGGGATATGTTTTTTTTGTCTACTAAGTTTTCAGGATCTTATTTGGTCATTATTATTTTTATTTGACCTCTGTCAAGATCATTGAGGCAACAACCCAGTTAAATGGGAATCTTACAAAGAAAAATGGGCTATGGTATCTGTCCTTCTGTATGACAACGCATGCTGGACAATTTCCTCAAAGATGAAGAAGAGACTTGAAGCAACAGAAATGTAGATAACATGGACTGAACATGTGACCAACAAGGTTTAGGAGAAAATGGAAAAAAAACGAAACTTATACTTAGCATCAGGAAGAAGAAGTTGAAATTTCTGGGTCACAAAATGAGAAAGGAGGGCTTAGAAAATCTGATACTCACAGGACACTTTGAGGGAAAGAGGGACAGAGGGAAGCAGCACATAACAAATTTGATGTGCTTAAGAAAATGGATGGTAGGACAGGGTTTGGGGGAAATAACAAAATGATAAAACTTATTAAGAGCTTCAAGGAACAGAAAGATGTGGAGGGCCATGATTCCCTATGTCCTGAAGGGACATGACACATAAAAAAGAAGGAAAATAACCTTTTCAATGGCTGTATAGTATGTGCCTTAACATGGCTAACTACCCAATGTACCCAGGTGGGACATTTCTCTGCTAACTTAAGAATTATTTTAAATTAAGTTTTAAACAGTTCATTTCACCCTGCCTACAACAGAATAAGATTTACAGCTTATTCCTAGTAAACAAATAATTTTTGATTAAAGGTTTGGTTTTCTCCTAGACATGTTCCCAACCAAGGCTAGAGAGCCTATATTGGTCTGTTATTTAACCCATAGCAAGGAGGAGTAGAAATGAATTTAATGAACTCAGCTGGAATTCACACTTGGCTTGCTTTCATGTTATTTGAATATTTTATTTTTATTTTTTAATATAACCTGGGTTGAGAGCATAGAGTCTACAGATAATTGTGAACTCTATAACTCCTAACTTTGTTTAGTTTTTGGAAGGTTTCTTTTGCTATTCCAATTTGGGTGAGTAAATGGAGCATACCAATAAGCAAACTTTTAACATCATGATAATTCACTAGCATAGTTAATTGATCAGTGGGGGTGCCTATATCATCTGCAATGAGTTTGAGGTTAGATTTACAAAAAAAAAAAATGATTTCTACTTTTTTTTTTCTTGTTAGATAAATATATGGAGTATTGAAAAAAATATCAATGATTCTTTGATCTTTTCTTCTAAGGAACATTATGGGAATAGTCTTGAAACTAGACGAGAGCCACTAAGCACAGTCTGTGACTTGGTTCAATCCACAGTGGATGCCACTGATTTATTATTTGTGTTGGTGAGCAAATGATACAGATCTTTGTATTCTCACCATGATTGCGGTTGAATTAAAGGGAATGTATGTAAGATAGAAGGAATGCCCTAAAGTGAGCTTTTATGTGGAAGAATTCTGTATTCATCGTGATGGGATTGGGAGGAGCAGGAAGGAAATGGTTGATTGAATGGATCATTTTATGTGCCTCTCATGAGATTGAACCACAATCATTTAGCAGACTTGCATTCACTGCAACTGAGCAGATCCAACAGATGAGTGGAGGGGGGTTGTTGTGTGTTTTATGGTGAATGAAGAGGCGGGGTGGAGGTTGCAAAGTGAGTTTCTAATTCAGTCAAAATAGTGATGGTGCCCATAAAACAAATATAACATTACAAAAAATTGTACTTTAATAAACAAGAAATAACATGCAATAAAAATAAATGAAATTGGAGATAAAAAAAGATCTGAACTAAATTTACAAAAATAATTTTAAAAAATGCCAATAAAATAAACATATGAACAAAATAAAAAATAAAATAAAAATTTTCGCAAAATAATGAATAAATAAGATACTGACACAAATACATTAAATATATTAATAATATAAGAGTATAGATGGTCACTTGTTTTCTGTCTACTAGAGAGTCTAGCCAATCCCTATTGCAGATGCTTTCTCAGGCACATTTGTATTTATTCAACATCCACAGAGCAGACCTTAGAGTTTCTAGGAAAGAGAGTGTTATCTAACGTGATCAACAATTTGAACAAAGTTAGCACACTCAAGCCCATGGTCATGATGTCTTGTGA